TATTTATGCAGTATTTTGTTGTTAAAGTGAGTTTATGGGGTGATCACTCTAAATGTGCTACGAATCAAAAAATACTTAAAACCAGAAAGCTTATAGCAAGCTGTTTTTATCCACTCAGTAATCAGAGTTCTATTTACAAAACTCACAAACTCCTCCAATTCTTTTTTTTTTAAATCAAACTGCTGAGGCGCATCAAGCATGCTGTAATAAGTAATATAAAAAGGCAGCAAGAATAATTTCAGGTAGTTTGCTCAGTGTGTGATTTGAGAAATGTCAGTTGAAAAGTCACAGAAGAGGTCAAGTGGAGATCTTGATGATCATAAATACCGTCTCAGAGATGGTGTTCTGAAATTACCATAAAATCAAATAAGTCAAGACCCTGTTCAAGAGAAAAAAAAACATACATAAAATAAATAAATATGTCCAGTAAGTTTTCTCCACATGAAGACATATCTTGGCATGCATTTTTGTAAGTTTCTCTATATTATAATTAGCATTAAATAAAGAATAAAGCATCACAATATATCTTTAGTTTATACATATTCTACCATATATAACAATCAATATTTACTTTTCTAATAAAAGTATAATCTAAAACAATCAAATTTCTTGAAGTCACCTGAGAGTGCGAGTTGCAATGCTGCTATCGCTAACGTAGTCCCATCTGTTGGGTTTCTCCCCGGTCATGTGTTGCTTGGGCCCTTTAGTTGGGAGTCAAGACAAGGAAATGTTTCTGAACACATCCTGAAAGCCACAATGAGGCATGAGCTAAAGATTTTGCCATTGCTCTTTAAAAATTGGATATTATTTCAAATTTGCATGTAGGCATCAAAACAGCCTTAATTCCTATTTTTCAAAAACTATTGATAAAAGAAGATAAATGAGCAATCATCATTACGTTTGTGCAAACCTTTCCATTTGTTCTTATTATTTGCATTTTTACCATTGTGCTTTGCTATTAATGTGTGGTTCTTTTTTTCCCAGCACAACAATAGAAGACAATAACTGTCACATCTGACATCACCAAAAGTTCCTTTTACACAAAAAAATACTTTTATTTATACATAACATTTGACTCACCTCTGCAACTAAATGGTCATTCTTGAAACTTTAGAACAAGCACGTATTAAAATAGGATGTTTTTCTTTTTACTTTTATTGTTTCAAAACCATTGATAGAAACACTTTTTTTTATTAAAGAAACCAGACACAGGAATGTTGAAAATCTTACAATGTGTATAATTGACACGATATTGCGGGTACAACAGCAAATGAGACATTTTCCAAATTTCCTGTCCTCTTCCTGGCAACTATCTTTACCATTAAAACAAAGTCTTTAAAGGTTTCTGATCAAAATACAACCAAAGTAAATCAAATCTAAAAAATAAAAAATAAAAATAAAAATAAAGTATGTTTGCCTCATAAACTGATACCATTCAGATATGCCCCTTATCGCGTGGTGTAAAAGAAATAAGCTGTTTTTAAATGGATGGATAAGAAGCTTTGCATTACAGTGATGAATGATGGCAGGGTGATAAGATACACACCAATATGACATCTGTGTGATCCTATATTCTGCTTCTCTCACACTCAGAGGCTTCCAGTTTACAGACTTTCACCATCCTCAAACCAGAGTTGGCCTGCTAGGCCACATCTATCTGCATACGCACATCCCCCCGATCGATAGTCRTTTCAGGAAGGTGTTGACTCGCTCATTGATCGACCATCTTGTGATGTCTTTGTGTAGACAGTGCCATTTAGTGGCCTCATAAAAGTGCAAGTATGGTAAAAGGAGGAGGAGGGGCATTTCGAAAACACAAATTAATGAGTTTAGAAAGTGAAGGAGGAAGGGGTGAGGAGTGGTCTTGTGCAAATTTCAGCTGATGACATCATGAGGCGGTCAATAAAAYGCAAGCTATCGCTCTAAATTCGCTGTTTGTTTTTAAGTGGGAATGTCACACAGACTGAGTGGATTCTGATTATTTCAGGGCTGTGAGCGTACTTCCACGTATATTTTCTAATATGTCTAATGGGTGTTAAAAAGACTATGTGGCTCAACTAACTGATATATTTTTTTTACTTGTTTAACTGTCATTTTAATTCCCATCAAAACAATAAATACGACCATACCTCTATTTGTTTTATTGACCCTAAAGTGTCAAAGGCAGTCACAGGCAGATATTTTAACCAGGGATGAAAACAGTGACTGACACAAACATTGAAACACATCATTCATTAATAAAGCAAATTGAAACAGAAAGTTCCATTAAAGGTGTGTCTAACACATACAGAAATAAAAAAAGGAACTAACCAAGTCTTTTCACAGATGTACTTTTCAAACAGGACCTCAAATAGCTTTGCAGTTTTGTTACMTGTCCAGATAAAATTAGATTTTTGCATTATTGGAACAGTAACTCATGGATTGTCCAAGTACACAACTGAAGCAGTGGCAAATTTTAAAAAGCCCATTTGTTTGACTCCTTTTTATTACATCCACTGTCTGATCCAGTCCTGACAGCACTGATACCATTAACACAGATTGGGAGTTATTCCAGTAGCAGTTAGAGAATATATATA